GAGACCGAAATGGCAATTTCTAACTTATTAGCCGTCTTCCTTGTTAATTTTGGTTCCACTCCATCATGTAATACGCGTCGCTATACGACTGCCTGCAAGGGCTGTATCTCCAACGCACGACGGATGAGCATGTTCCCTAACCAAATCAATGAGCGCTCTACTATCAGACTGTATTTTGTTGGAACCCAGAAGAGATTTTGTGCTATGGACTCCCGCCTTAGGCGGGCAAGTTTCCCAGTGGACTACATCATAGAAAGAAATTAGAGATACCTGTCCTTTCCTGACAAAACCGGTTCAGCCTACCTTCTTACTGGAGCATGCACTACCCGTATCCCACATTCTGCCTGGGATAGAGTAAACATATCCGCTCCCCCCACCCCTCTGCCCAATTTACTGACCCCATACTCTGTCTGTCTTCAGGCCCTTTGGACAATACAACTCGAATGTGGAGTCAGCACTGTGGGACAATGCACAGAACGCCCACGTCATGATCTCCCATGACTATAAGCAACAAGAGAGCGAGCGCATCATGGAAGAGTTTCACTCCAGCTTCGATCAGCTCTTCCGTGAAGTGATGAACTTCTCTGAGTAAGGCATACTGCAAGCCTTTCTTACAAATACCTATACCAAAGCTAAATTCATCCTCGTGGTGTACCAGAGTTGAGCTTCCTGTGCACTGTGCACAGTCGTAGGGATATGGGCGATTTTCTTTTATAAAAAGTCAGATTTGCAGAGAAAACAGAATTTAACGTAGGTAGCGGCTCATTTCAACTATCACGACACGCGGAGCTGTAGACAAACTTAGCGGTTACTAACAGTACCATGCCAGTACTGGAGAAAAGGGACGAATGAGACAGAGCTGGCCATTTCTGATTGGTGCAGCTTCATCCCCGACCGGCACCCCACAAACCTTGCTGCGAATTTAAACCCGAATCCCTTCTCGCGCATTTAGGTTAAACGCCTTACTGCCGCAAGTATGTATTCTATCTTAACCCTGGGTGCTGCAAGCATACAGGCAAGTGGTGAAACACAACGGGCTATAAAAGATTTTTCGGTAACAATAAAGTTAGCCGACCACCTTAGATACCCCTAGTCCTGCGGTTGCTTTTAATTTTATTAATTTTAAGTTTTTATGAAGTTAAATTTTAGTTCTAGTTTAGTTAGATACCGCCAAAGTTTAATAACTGTACTTAGATATCTACTATAGAGTAAACTAACAAAACTAAAATTAATCTACTAACAGTGGTAGACCAACTTTACTGTTACCGATTTTTCACTCCAGGCATTGAAAACTGAATAGCTCCCCCTCCACCCCTTACGCCAGGCGGGGGTGGGGGGAAACATGCCCGTTTGCGGACTACTCCCTTTGTGGACAACAGTCTTAATAGTGCGTTCCTGGTTTTACCCCCACCCCTTTGGCTAACTATGACACTTTAAACTCCTCCTTTCACTCCAGTATGCTCATTCGACGCGAATTGGTGTCTGGTTTACAGTGCAGCCCATCCACGAAGGACAACAGCAACGTGCAGCCTCTCACCCACTCTGAGCACGGTAAGTTCCAAAAAAAAGGTTCTTCTATTTACGGCAATTAAAAAAAACCAGTTTCGAATCATGACGATGGTGAGTAAGTCGTTCCCGTATGGATTCAGCCCTACAGCGGAGAGAAAGGCTTGCTAGTGTGCCCATTTGTCGCGTGATACAGTAATTACTAGGAAGTATCGTCTGGCTCTGAGTTGAAATCGATTCCTGTCCAAAATTGTACACTTCTTGGTTGATAAAATAAACTAAAGCCATGTTCTGCACGAGAAAAAAACAGAAGACATTTTCCACTGTACATTAAACCATTGTTAGATAAAGTGGACAACGTTTAGGGTAGCTCAAACCAATAATCCAGACT